GTGTATTCCGACTCTATCCCACATTCCAGGCCATTTTCTCTCGGGAAATCTATTTGCATATATCCAAACTCCTGTCAAATATGCAATAATGCTGCTGATGACTGGGCTCACAAATGACCATACATGATCAATTCCGTGTAGATGAATCATATGAGTCAAAGGAAAGATGCCCGAACAGCCGAGCAAAATGAAAAGAAAAACTCGGAATAATCGGAATGGCTTGGTATCGAACCATGAATAGAATGAACAACATATGGGAACCAGGCCAGAGAGCGATGTTACAACAATGTAAAACATTTGGACATTCGGAGTACAGTAGAATGAATAATATTCAGTGATTAAGATTGAAGCTGTAATCAGAAGAGATATACCAATATAATCAAACGTTGCAGCACATTTCATTACTAATTGATAAAGTAAATTAATATATTAGTTAGAGTTCTGTCAAGAAAATTTTTGAAAGAACGACCAGAGCCATGTATGATATTTACCTGGTATATGGGCACAATGAATAAATACATGATACATTACAGAACACACTAGACTATTCGCAAGATGTGAAAAAAAAAAAGAGGTAAAGGTCAATTCAGCATTGCGATTTCGACTCTCTTTACGCGTGTTCTTTTCATACTCGCTATACCACCCGCGCCCATCTTTCCCGTATCCCTCCTCTTCCTCACAACCAAACTCACCATTTAGCAGCAGCAATAAAAAATATCCCGAAAGCAAACTTATCAAATACGGACGCTTCTTTCAGATGCGTATTTACGGTATACACGCCCAAACACAGAAAGAATATAAATCCAATCAGATGAGTCCAGATATTACATGTTTCGTTATGGAGGTAAAAGATCGATTGTAGACATGCTCGCTTGGTAGTCAGAAAGCGGTAGCCGGAACGGATGTATCTGTAAAGAGTAGCGTAGGCAAGAAAAAGTCAGTAAAGAAATAATGAGAGAGTTTGGATTGGAAATAACAAATGGTCATGTTAGCAATCGTGTAGACTAGCGGTTATAATGCGCAAGTCTAAAGTAATTTTTACGATTAGCTAATATAAAAGTTATTCTAGCCTCCTTGGGAAAAATAAACATAGAATATCACCATAACAAGACACTCTGGGGTTTACCGAGTCTGATTTTCGTGTTTGTCTTACACTATAATACTATACTTTATACTTTAAACTAAAGTTTCTGTTCTTTTTATCAGTTATATTGTAAACTACACGCCTCCATTCTCATATTCTGCATACTTTGATATTCTGAATGACACAATCCTTCTACAGCCTCCAACTCATCTCTACTCACGTTCCTTCCTATCCATTCTACTTACGGATTCTCTTGCCATTCTTTCGGTAGCTCGTCAAAGCTTAACAACCTAGATGCCCCCAACTTTGCTGCCCGAGTAATAGCGTTATATGTCCCCACCATGTGCTGGTCTACGCATTTCAAGATGCCGGTTGAGTCAAGCTCCTCTATTTCACGTAGCGTTTCGAGAACTGTGGGGGAATCTATTTGGGCATAACTCAAATCTTCTTTTGAGTGCATTTTGCAGTACAAAGTGGAGTAGGGGAGCGAGAGATAAAAGATACTGGGAAGGTTCTAAGAAAGTATGTTGTGCGTATGTAACAGTGATAGCAATGTGCGGAACGTGTTTTGAGAAATGAGTGGCCAATAGGCAGATTATGCGCAGACCAAAGGACTGCTGCTGTTAATTCTGTGTTTAAAATTATTCTATTCTTTGAATTAAAGGTAAATAGATATTCAAAGGTTTGTTCGAATCTCTGTAATTTTTTTTGTGGGTCTTTCTTTTTGTGGGCAGCTGTTTTAAATACCACTCTAATATTAAATTAAAATGTAACAAAGAGTATCACAAGATCTTTTTTGGGGATCAAATATTAAGTTAAACGCCACAGCCTCCTTCTTCTTTCCCAAGTATGATTGGTGTATAAAGATATTAAACTAGCTAAACTAATGCGTTTTTTCCTTTTCGGTTAAGCGATTAAAGGGATTTCTTCCAAAGCGCCAAGTTTTTAGTGAAAACGCAATATCAATATTAATAGTTATTAAGGCTTTGTTTGTGCAACTCGTTCATTCATCCCGCTGGTTTTTTGTTCGAAATAAGTATCTGCTTTAATTGGTAGGTGTCGATGTTTCAAGTCAAATGGTCACAACGTATATTGATCAACGCTCATAAGGCTGGATCGGTGTTTGACGAACTTTGCAAGATCGGTTGCGATTCACCAGATTTACTTCCAGCAGATCCAAACCGTAAAATATAAAGTACGCGAGCAAGGAGACATCCAGGCTGAGAAACCTTTGCCGACAAAAGTCCAAACCAGGCAATCTCCTGTTCGACGATAAGGTAGATAACGGTGTAACACCCATGTTCAGCATAGTTTCGCCGGGGCGACCAAAACACGCACTGGGAAATAACCGATTACGTTATGTGATGAAACAAAAAGTTATTCTCCTTACATAACTTCAAGTTAGAGCCATGAGCTCCTGTCCAGATGGCCTGCTACAAATAATGTCTATTAGATGCACCCCCATAACTTAAAAAGAGGCTTTTTTTCTTTACGCAGAAAACACTGCAGGAGACAAGATTGGTCGTACAACCCCATTACCGCATGAAAGTATTTGCGTTTTTTGACTACCAATGGATAATAATGCTTTCTCGACACGATGTGCAGATACGGCATATGGTCAATCGATGTGTAACATAACTTTGATACATGATATCTGCTGATTACCACCTGGCAATGAAACATTTATTGGTGATAACAATTATAGATAAACTCGCGACCAGATGAGCAATTGTGGAACTGATTTGGCTGTCAGTCACATGCGCAATCTTTTAAGATCGACGATCTGTTATGCATCATGTTGGCCTAATACTGTAATAGTTTTAGCCGAAAATCTACATTTCAAAAATGGCAAACCACTCCTCTCGGCCAATTATCTACACGCGTAACACGCGTCAATCTTACTATACTGAATCATGTAATAATAACCACACCGCACAATAAATCATAATGCGCAGTCGCACTAAGATATGCTACATCTGAATGCTCGTGCAAATTAGAAAGCTACGATGAATTGAGTCACACGAAAGCGTTACGAGACATACTCGTACAGGGTGTTGTAGCTACATATGTATAATAAACCAAATACTTCAATTCTAAAGAACATATTTTTACTAGTTAATTGCTACAAAGCAGTAAGTTCAAAAGGTAAATATAATTTTTTAGCACATCTATGATGATTTATCATTTTACAAAAGCCTCTTACGCTGCTTTACCCAGAGAATTTCTCCCCAAATCAATAGCTGAATAAGAATGATAATGGTTTGATATTGCCACTGATCTTGCTCAATACGATACAAACTTTTACATTGTAGTGTCTAAAGCGTTCATTCGATTTATTTATATTATAACTTTTTTTAAATCACGGATGTCCACAATATTATTGTGAGCACAAAATATCAATAGTCATAATAATAAACGAGGCAACAAACTTATAATTAATTTATTCAATATACGTATGCACTGTTTGACGTTAATATGATCTCTAATAAGTTTTTCTCCGTCTTAAAGTTGGCATGAAATTGTCAATCGAGTTTCAAGGATGCAATAAACTGTGAATAAGTGTAATTGCCAACATAATTTCGGGGATTTACAAATATGTCAGGCGTTAAATCATCTTCATTATTAGCAAACACTCACAAATAAACTAAATAAATTATGCTGTATATGTTGTCAGGGTCAATGTTCACGGAAATTATTGAGTTTAGTCATTTTATAGTAAATTCAGTATAGTCGACCGGAATAAATATTAATTAATATAGTGTATACCCAATTCTAAATCACATGAAAAGGATATGAAACCAGCTTATTAAAGTTGTGCATATTAATATTGGTATGCAAATAAAGGGTTATTCTTCCAATCAAACGAAGAGTCATTATGTATATTTACCCGAAAAAATTTATCAATTTGCATAGAAAGCTGTCGTGTGATCTTAAAGTTTACCTTTGAATATTTACAGAATTTTGAACTGCGAAAAAAAATCACTGGGCGGTGCGAGTGCATGATGGCTGCCCAATAAAACTTTTACTCCCATATTACGCAACGATTCACAGCCTATCATTCGGAATGACTTGTCAACTGGCACACTACCATTGGGATACTATATATTCGACGGACCCGCGACTCAATTTGATCTATATTGGAACGAGAAATCTAACTCGATTACTGGCTCGGATGTATCGGATTGTTTCTTATCACTCTGAAAAAATTGTTATCTCGGAAAAGTTTGTTGCAGCTTTGATCTTTGGGAAACTAGATCTGGGTAAGATTATGAGGAACTGTCTTTCCTGCGAATAGATGACCAGAAGACCATTATCATGGCCAATGAGTAGATTGGGCGTATTGCTTTTAAAGTCACATTCATCTATCTATAAGGAACTCTACAAAGAGATACAGTCTACCTTTTGGAGTTCATTTGATATAACAGACAATTTCAATTAAGAGTCAGGGGGCCAGTATTTGGGACTAAGAATTTCTAATAATTCGAGTGACACTGTTCTCGTGAAACAAGATAAAGCTCCCGCGTAAATGGAATAGAGCCATTCTCAATATCGAAGGAGATCGGAACAATTATAGTGAAAGAAATTCTATATCGGCTTGACATGGGGGATACCAGACAAAATGTATGTGGTATTCTTTCCATCGGAACAACGACATCACAGATGAACGATAATACTTTTGTTATGATCTAAAATGTTTGTAATAAGTCGTTACCAGAATACCTCTACCGCATCGACGACTACGTCTGAAGGCGGTGTCGGCGATTGGAAATGGTGTGGTGCCGAGATTGGCCATCAGTTATGTTCCCTTATCACGTACATATTTGTCGTTATGACCTATTTGCTTTACTTCATGACTCGTAATCAAAAAGAGACACGCTAATAAAGACAGACAGTTTAATTCGAATAATCCCAGTATTCAATCCTCATCGCTCGAGTCACTATCACAAGGAACGTAATAGGAAGGATATACATTGGTTATACGATCCCAATACCACCAACCATTACTCAACTTGTAGAAATCCGCAATCACGCGCATTCCAACTGCAGCATATTTCGCAATGTCATTTCCCAAGCGAAGAACGATCTCTGGTGCTTCTGGTTTGTTACAGTCGCGCAATGTAAGACAACGGAGAGGGCCATCACTCGGCAATTTGTCATCTAGAGTATTTTTAGCATTTGAGACATTTGTTGCTTCGGTAGCATTTGAGGCATTTGTTGCTTTTGTTGCTTCGGTAGCATTTGAGACATTTGTTGTTGCTTTTGTTGCTTCGGTAGCATTTGTGGCATTCGTAGTAAGGCTTGCACCATCTGCATTTTTACCATTGCTATCTGCACGTTCATCTTCAATGGATATTATCTCCATATCGATAACCATCTTTGTCTCTTCTCTCACAATTTCAACCTCATCAGTCTTCATTCCGGTTTCCTTCTCAAATAATCTCTTTGCCTGGGCCAACGTCATGCCCACTATATTCGCCACCTTGTCTTCCCCTTGCCAGTTATTGTCAAACATTCCATAGTACTCCCCGCCAAACAGCAGCGAACACGCCTTGTTAAAAATACCCGGGGCATTTAAAGAGAGTAGTTTACAGTTTGGTAGCTCTATACGCGCCTTGTACGCAATATCCAACGCTCCCTTCATATCTTCTAGATGTTCCGGACACACATCGTGCCTTATCAGATAATTCAAAAACGAAACCAAGACTTCCGGTGCTTCTTTAAACTGATTCATCATAACATATCCGCTTTTATCAATAAAATAACTAGACAAGTATGTCGCGGCAATATGCGTAAATGCAACTTCAGAGCCATCAATAATATCGTCATCAATCAAGTCAGTCGCTTGTTTTGCAGCTATGATTTCAGCGTCGTCTTCAGGATCGACCTCGTCATCATTACCGAGAAACGCCTTTTGAGATGTGTTTACGCCGCCGTACGAAAGGTAAGAGTTGAGGATCTGATGGCGAGTTGTGTTAAACTTCCGGTTCTTTTTGTATCGTTGAATGGCGCGCTCTATCCGATGACTCAGAGGATCCGACCTTTTGTATAAATGAAAGAAAATTGTAATATGAAAAAACGTGCCCTAAACGATGAAGATGATCGGGAAGGCAGGAACGCGACGATATATTCTAACACAATTATCAATGACTCGAAACCCTCAATTTATTCCCAATCCACGTATCTATCTTGTACCTAGTGTAAAGCACTTCAGCGTCCTCGTCTTTGGGACCTGGATCAAGAAAATTGTCAATATCATCGCCAGTAGCACTACTACTCTTCTTCTTCTTCTTCTTTTTTTTCTTTTTTCTTGTACTCTCCAAGCGTACTGGTTCGCTAGCAACTGCACCTTCGGTTTGTTCCGGTTGATCGGATGGAGAGCTTGCGGGGTCGGCTGGAGTGTCTGCGGCGGTGATATCGGAAGTAGGAGAAGAGTCAGGTAGAAGAGGTTCAAGTGGGGGAGAAGGTTTGGGAGCCTGAGGTAGCAACGGCGGAAGATCATCCTCTTCTGTTAAAATTGTTTCTCCGGATGTGGTATTAACGACGACATCGTCGTTTTTCTTTTGACTTTTCATTAAACTCTCTTTTGACACATCCACCACGCCAACCTCACTAAAATTCAAATTAGCATACAAGAAGGCAGTTTTGGAACGATATCATCACATTAGACTAAATAGTGCGAACAAATCAATAATGGTAAATAAAATTTCATACAGTTTGTCGTTTTCTTTGCTCATAGGTTTTCGGTTGCCCTTGGCAATGGTTTACTGACTGGGATTTCCTAGCAGATTTATACTACGTGTAATCATCATTGTCGGCAATTTATAGAATGTTGTCCTACATTCCCACCACAAAAAAAAGAATTTTTTTTTATATTTCTTTTCTCTCCTCTATATAAAAGCAATAAAAAAAATGACAAGGTCAAAGTCCCAGTCTTCGGGATCTGCTTTAAAACGGCTAAAATCAACGTTAAAAGAGGCAGGACTTATTGGACAGAAACCTAGTAAAAAGTCACGAAAAAATGCAAGAGGATCCGGTAGTAACGTATCGGCTGCAAATAGGAAGAAACTGGAAGTGACATTGACGAATCCGTTTGAGCTTCGAGAGACAAAGACTAAACATGAAGTAATTGGACGGACAGTCAAAGGAGTTAAAGGGCGGCCAGGACTTATGAAACGCGTTGGCAATGAGAATGTATGGTTCAAGCCATATTAAAGATTCGACTGTTGACATGCTTGTTGAGAGACGATCAATCGCGTTAATTTTATTTTATATAAACAGAGAAGGAAAACATTGCTTGTCGAAATGGAACGGAGATATAAAGCAGGTGGAATCATAGATAGACGATTTGGTGAGAACGACAATACAGTATCCCCTGAAGAAAAGATGTTGGAGAGATTTACCAGGGAACGACAGGTGAATATTGTACAATCATTATTTTGTTTTTTCAATTTAATACTTACATCGGATCTATTTCTCTGTTTCAATCGGTACAGAAACACGCAAAAAACACGTTATTTAATCTTGAAGAAGAAGAAGAACTAACTCATTACGGCCAGTCATTATCGTCGATTAACTATTTCGGGGATGGGTTAGATAGCGGCGATGAGGTGGAGGAAAAAGGTATGACGGCGGCTTTGATGGGATATTAGGGTAAACGATTGATGGTTTACAAATTAAAAAATATTAAGCAAAGGGTTGTTGACAACTTGTCATATATTGTAGGCATTATTGATGAAGAGACTGTCGCACGAACACATTTTGGTGGGTTCAATGCAGGAGATGACGATGATAAGGTATGGAAACCACAGAGGTGTTTCAATATTATATTTCATGCCTAATTTACATATATTCTTATTGTATTTCTATTTAGAATTCTCAACGTAAAAAACAAAATTCGGAAATTTGGAACGAGCTTATTGCAAAGAGTAAATTTCATAAAGTACCAAGTCGATCCTTTTTCGCTGTCATCGAATCTGTTTTTGTTTACATATCTCAATCCAGTTGAATCTAATTCCGATCCTGTTCTCCTATTTACTAGTATGAGCGTCAATTGGAAAAAGAACAATACCTTGCCGAGGAGGAAGAATTGGACAAAGAGCTGAATGATATCAGAGGATTGCTGCTTTTGGAATCTTCAAATCGAGTAGCAGCAAAAACAGAACAAGAAAACGGGGAAAAGGTAGTTTTGTTGAGAGTTCTCTTTGCTCACAGAACAACATCTATTTTTATTCTCAAAGACCACCAGTTCAACTGGGATTGTTTGCTTTCTCTCAATGCTATTTCCAAGAACTATCGTAACCGGTTTTGTGTTAATTTGCTGCATTTCGGTTCGGCTCGAGTCTTTGATTCATTCATTTATTATTCCAACTATTATACTTTCATTTTGATTAAATCTATTTGTTTCTCTTATTTCCCCACCTTCTCATAGTCTCTCGATGCACACCACGACTCTGTTGATTCATACGACCGCTTTGTCCGCGAACTAGCCTTTGACAAGCGTGCTCGACCCACAAATCGTACTAAAACAGAAGAAGAACTTTTATTGGAAGAAAAAAAGAAACTGGAACAATTGGAACGAGCAAGGAGAAAAAGGATGTTAGGAGTGGATGATACGAGTGAGGAGGATGAGGAAGACGATAGAAAAAGGAGAAAAAGACGAAAAAGGAGGAATATAGAAAGTGAGAGCGAAAATGAAGAAATTGAAGCAGTTACGGTCGGATTTGATGAAGGGACTGTTATTCGCGAGTTTTATGCTCCCGGGGAAGGAAATAGGGATGATGACGACGATGGCAATGATAATGAAGAAGTTGATGATGACGATGGAGAAGATGAAGACGACGACGAAGAAGATGATTATGATGATAAAAAAGATGATGATGGCGACAATGATGACGTTTTTGAAGACTTATCAAATGATTTGTCAGCTTTGGATGATATGAATGACTTCTCTTCAACATCCCATTCCGTTGGTGACCCCACCTGTTCGACTCCTTCAGCGTCTAAACATTCGCAATTGCCTACCTCTCTTCCGTACACTTTCCCATGTCCGCAAACACACGAAGAATTTATGAACATTCTACATGGAGTTGAGCTAAAAGATGTGCCAACGGTAGTACATAGGATCTGTGTCTTGCATCATCTTAAGCTTGATCCTGGTAATAAAGAAAAATTGGAGGCAAGTGAGTTATATTGTTGGTGAGGTTAGATTGTGTGATTCATGTGGTCGGCACTGACTGATTCATTTTTGTCTTCTTCCGCTATTCTACTTATGCTGCACTGCATTTTTCACATTATATACATCAGATATTTTACCCAGTATTATTAGAATACGTTCTCAAGATCGCAAACGAAAGGCCTCTTCCAACTACTTTCTTGTCCTCTTTGACTACACATCTGTTCTCTCTCACACACATGCTTCCGCATATAACCCGCCGGACATTCTCGTCTCAGCTCTCGCTGGCACATTCTCATTCCTCCGTCACGATGTCTGATTTAACTCTTCTAATGTTAATTTCCAAACTATTTCCCACAACCGACTTCCATCATCCGATAACGACTCCAGCAATGATATTAATGGGACAGTGTCTTTCAAAAAACAAGTTAAGCACTGTTAGGGACATTGTTATAGGACTGGCTATTTGTAGCTTGGTCTACGAATATGTGTGTTTAACTAAAAAAATCGTTCCTGAAGTTGGGAATTTTTTGTGCTCAGTGTTAGCTGCGTTTGTTGCTGATAAAAGTTTCGGGGATCCGGAAAGCGGAAATGGGGAATGTCCAGATAATGAGAATTTGAAAACAAGAGAGTTGCCTGGTGTGTTCCCTTTAGTTGGGAAAGTTGGGATGATGAGAAAAGAGAAAGGAAATTGGAGCATAATAATGCCTAAAGCTGTGAATGTTCCTCAAGTGGTGAATAGGTGTGGTGAGGATGGAGACGATGCTAATGATGAACTACGGTTGGCATATTATTAAGAAAATTTCAGTTTGTCTTATGCTTTCCTTAATCATTTTCTGATTGCTTCTCTTTCACTTGTAGTGTTTGTATTTTGTCGTCAGTCGTTTCTCTGATTGGTCAATTCGCCAAGTTATATAATTCAACAGCCGCATTTATCGAAATTTTCGAGCCTATGCTATTGATATTGAAGCTAATCCCCGTGGATGAATTATCTAGCGTTATGATGGTGAGTGTGAGATGTTATCGCTGTGATATTCGTATCTATACTGCAGAAGATTAATTACTTATACTTGAGCAGGAGAAAATGTTATCGACGAAAGACGCACTCAATAGAATGTTGCGATTTGCAAAAGACGCACGTAAGCCTTTGGCGTTGCAGCATCATAAACCCATTCCTCTTCCAACATATCGTCCTAAGTTTGACGAGAAGTAAGTGTTCTATCGATTACGAGGTTCGTATGTGCTATATATTTTCTAACGACTTTTAATTCTGTAGTTACTCGCTTGATCGTCATTATGACAGTCGAGAGGTAGCATCAATCAACAAGTTGAAGGCACAACATAAACAAGAGCTTAAGGGAGCTATGCGTGAATTACGCAAGGACGCTCGCTTCCTTGCCCGTGAGTCATTAAAGAAGGTTAGAGAGAACGATGAGTCGTATAGAAAGACAATTAAGAGTGTCATGAGCAAATTGGAGAGTGAACAGCATGAGAAGAAATTGTATGACAGAGAGAGGAAGAAGTGAATTAGAGTTATAGTAGAGTAATGAGATTGTATATACACTGCCATATTTATATGCCATCTGAGACGCAGGAGGCAGACAAGGAATTAATATTATTTAATACAAACTTCTCAAACTCAATTATTGCTATGATCCTGTTAATGCGATGCTAATAATAAGAGTGTTGTCGTCTGGTGGTTTCAAACTCAATTTTCCTACAATAGAAGAACACTGGACTTTGCAGTATGGTGCGGTTAGCACATCAAAAAACTGAATCCAATCTCAATTAGAAAAACAGAAGCTGATTATTAATAGTATCGATTTTGTATATTAATATGTATTTCTGCGTACTTGCGATCTTGCTCTCACGTGATCGATTTCGTCAATGTTACATCAATATATTAAATCGCGAGGTCTCGCTAAAACCCAGTTTAAGCTGTTTTGCCTGCACATCAGTAAAACGCGCATAAAACGAACGGCATAAAACACACGCGGGGGTCAAGCTTTAGCAAGTTGAGCTCCACTATGAAACCCGCGAGCCTCAACCCGGAATTCAACACGGATTATCTTTTTCAGTAGCCACCACGTGGCAAATAATATAAATTAAGTGGAGCATGACAATAATACCTCATAATGCAAACTAGGAGAAAACGAAGTCTCCTCCTCCTTCTCCTCCACGACCTCTACGAACGCGGCCTCTACATAATTTATGGTCAAAAAAACAAACTTAATACATTCTTTAATAAACCTCATTCTCTACCCCTTCTCTCTGTCTCTCTGACTGGCGATTAACGCTGCCCATTTCGGTGGACCAACCCATAAACCCGCGTTGGACACAGAAACTTTTATCGTTTCGTTTTGACGCATGACTGAGAACACACTTATAATCAAACTGCATCTTGTGCGGTAGTGTGGGTGGGGGACGGGACATTATTAAACTGCACATGCTTGGAACGGATATATCTTTCCTGCGTGATCAACAATCGCTTCCTACTACTACCTCCAACGTCCTCCCCACCTCTACTACCACTACAATCACTGCAACACCCGATTTTCAAGGGATTCAAATAAACTTACCCACCACAAGAGTGATTGAACATGCAATGAAGATCATCGATATTATGTTAGACAATACCGAAATGGAAGTTATCGCACATCCATATCATATAGAGGATACTACACCATTAACACCTGCTGACTTGGAGCAGATAGCCCAGTTAGTGGAAGATGAATCAAAAGGCCATATTGAATTCATTGACCTTTTTGGCAACACAACTCAAGCTTTCCATCCAACCTTTGTTGTAGAGGTCGAGTATGTTTCCACTGCCCTGAAGTTTGAAGTGCAGTATTCACTGTGTTTGGATTGACAGCATATGTAACAATCATCATTATCATAACAAGACTGTAAGTTCTTAATATTATTATCTGAGGTTCTGAAAATTAAAATGTATATTATGGCATGTTCACTAATTATAATAGCACTATTTCTATTTACTGTCCACATTATTAATAGAGTTAATGGAAGGGATGGCTCTATGAATGTGGCCTCCACCACTACCACCACTACCACCATCAATAGGTCTGCTGACAGGGTGGGAGGAGGAGAGAAAGTTGGTGAGAGAAGAGATCAATGATCTTTTTCAAGATCACTAAATTCTCATGGTTTGCACAATGTACTCATTTAGCATGATATCTTGGAACTGTATTAGTTTAAGAGTACACTCAAAGTTTAAACAGTGACTAGATCAATGGAGAAGTTGGAGAGACAGTTGCAGGAGGAGAGAGATGATTTTTTGCAAAGGTGATGGGTTTTTTTAGGCAATATTCTTTAAACTTTTACTATTGTGTTTTCAAGTTTGAATGCCATCAGTGAACTCTTATTGGAGATCATTGTATTACATTTCAATGTTGTGTCTCAAATTCATACCTTTATAGAAGGAACATGAAAAACTAAACATCCCCCAATTTGTGACCTACTTGATATTGATGAGATTTCCAACAGTGGTGTAACTTGCAAGTTTTGCAGGACTAGTCACTGGTCGAAGTCCAAAAAATCAGATTCTGATTGGTAAAGCATCATCAGCAGTCAAGTAGTCATAATAAACCAACAAATCAGAACACATGACATTTCGTCTGCAATTCTTCC